CTGTTGGGGTTGCCGCGATGGTGCAGCGCATCAGGTATGTTTGCCGAGGCGAGGACGGACGGTTTCGCAGCCGTAATGAGAAAAAGGTGTGCCTCCCTGGAGGCCCGCATGCGCGCCAGCCCCAATCGCATCCTCAGTGTGTTTGCGAACCGCTGGGACAACCCAATGTTGGCTCGATGGACGTCATTGCACGTAAAAATGTAATAGTATGTAATAATGTGAATGTCTTATTTTATTGTACTAACACTTAGCTTTCGTAAGAGTTTTTCAATTTGTTACTAACACTTTTGTATGGACCACCTAAGTCTGAAATAAAATTATTTTATTTTATTTTATTTTATAACAGTTGCAGGGCCACTTAGAGCTGTAAATTCATTCATAGGATCTCTACGGTTGGACGAATTCATTCATGGCCTCTACTGCTGCTATATCTGCTGCACCGTATATACCTCGGGACACTCTCTGTTACTTTGCGACCCCACCAGATACTCTGCCCATTTCCACTTATTTATAAATATTTAGTAGAAAGGAACACACTATAGCGTAAGGTACGTATATGCAAATCGTATTTGCGTTGCACAAACGAGCGATTCTTTCAGTGTACTGTTTAGGGTCTCGGGTTTCTCTCAGAGAAAAGTTTAAAGAGACTAGTATCATGACTGTGGTATCACAGTACATTTATTCAAATATTTTGTATGCCCGTAAAAATATACATAATTCTGATATCCATAATATTAACCTTAGAACTAAGTCCAAACTCATGGTACCACGATTTCGTTTAACTAAGTAAACGATTCTTTTATGGGGAAATGTATACATTTTTACAATAACATTCCGGATGGTAATATTAATATATGATTAAGATTACCATTTCCTAAGTTTAAAACTTACATTAAAAATATTTTAACTGAAAAGTCATATTACAAAATTGTAGACTACGTGTTAGATAAAGATGTATGGAAAGACAACACGAGTCTAGATTCCGCACAAATATGAATCAAAATGTATCTATAGCATTTAAGTTTATTTGAAAAGAGTAATCCCTAGAGCTTCTTGCTCGTTCTTCTCAGGGAAGTCGACACAGTGAACGAGCAGTAACTTAAAAATTACATTTTCAAGTGTAAAGATTTTACCTATGGAATCATTGACCTACCAACAAATGGAATAGATGATTATTTGACTTTAACTATTTATTGAGAAAATTTGTATGCATTTGACTTCCATCACACCTGATGGAAAGTGACAATGAGGTCGACAATTGAGCATGCACACCGCTTATAATTATAAGTAACTAACGAATAAAATATTCAAAATATTCAATGACAAACTACTACTCTATAGAAAATATTATGGGCTACATAAGTAATCAAAAAAGAAAACAAAAAACTTCTATGCTAAGAACATGTTTTGTTTTTGTCTTTTTAATAATAGCACTTGACAACTTTGCACGAACGTCATACCTGTCTCTAGTTTTGATTCCATAAGGGCAACGACATTTTAAAACGAAAAATTATTTCTACAACTTGCTATCAAACAGCTGATGCCACACATAAATACTACGCAATGATGTCATTTTGCGTAAAAAAACTTCATTCAATTTTCACGCAACACTGCCCGCGGTGCGCTGTCCGTATTTTTACTACGGTTCAGTTAAATTCTATACAAAAACGTCATAAAACCTTTTAATCCCGCAATAATACTCTACAAACGACGCCATTTTTTTGTCTTTTTCATTCATTTTGTATAGTTTTATTGTAGTATGTACACACGTATATTTATTGTGTCTTTCTACAGCGATCACAGCACATTATAGGTTACTTCTTTGCGATATAAATAGCTATTGCATATAGTGACTTATTTAACACATTTTTTTATGATACAAAGCGGAATGAACGTACGTCTAGAAGACACAATCTAGTTCCACATAATATTTATTATTATTTAAGTTTCCTGTTTCTCTTCTCTTCTGCCAATGTTTAGTCAGTCATGGGACAACCTCACACAATGTTTAATATAATAATGTTTTTATTAGTTTATTAGTCAAATTTTTGACAGTATTGTTACTGTTTCTATTAATTTATCTGTCAAACTTTTGACAATATTGCCGGTTAAGTCATTGTTTTATAGGTAACACTTTAGACAACAGACTTTTAAAAACAGTACTTTAAATGGCAACATATGTTTTAATTAATTTTGTTCTACTTCTTATTGTGTCTCAGTCATGAAATAAAATAAAAATAATTATAATAATGTCAATTAAAAAACCAACTACACATACCGGCTTAGTTATCGCAACAAAAACAAAGGAGATTAAAAACCAGTGTTTGTGTGGCAGTGCCCCTCAGATCTTTGCGATTGAAAACTTTGAGTGGCTGTGCAACTGTTATGGACAGCCGTGTAACTTACCATCAGGCGCACGATTTGTTCATTCCGTCATTTGATATTATATATATAAATAAAAAAATCATTCTCAATACAAAAATACACAAAAAAATAAAAACAAAAAAAGGTGTAATAAATTCCTTTTTTCTTTTGTTGTATTAATATCGATTAAGGTTCAATTTGTATTTAGGTCAAGTGTGTGGACATCCATTTAATGTATGGCTTAAGCGTGTTATAATAACAAACGTAAGTCCGAATATTTTACTATTTTAATTACTTGAAGGTAGCAAAATTATTCAATGAATGGTAATAATTTCGTCAAGTGGTGGAAAGTTGGAGTATTAACATAAAAACTATTCACATAAGTATACTAATAATATAGAGAGCGATAGTTCAGCGGGAAAACGTTGCAAACGTCGACGGTTTACATTCGGTTGTGGCGGAATTCCTGAGTTACGTACATTTGTGAAGGTAGCCTCATCACAGAACAATAAATACAGTAGAAGTGCTTAGTTTGCATGGCATGTGTGCCAACAGATCGCGGAGTTCCGCAAAGCTCAGTCCGCCATTTTCGCTTTGTCGTGTCAATTATCTCGCGCGAAACCTCGAAAATCCCAAAAAACCCCTCATTTCACTTCTTTAGAGTGCAAAAATTATAGTCGCATTTGTAATATTAGCTATGGTCGTGTTTCGATTCTCATTAAGTCTCATTTTACTTAATTTTAATAATATTTTTTTGTTACAAAAAATGAAAGTAAATCTTATACCTCGAAACATCTCGGATTTGTCGTCGTTGAGTTATTAACCGCTAGATGGCAGCACATGGATTGAAATTTCAATAAGATCAATACGTCGTAACTTGCAATAATAGGTATTGTACTTGTAACGATAAGCTAACAGGGTAAAGTTTAAATTATGGTAACAGTTCAGAATATGTTATTTCTTTTTAAATTTGAAACCACGACCAATCATTATTAAGACAATAATAATAATCCACACTAGGAAAATCGCGGGTGTCATGGACACACACATAGACAACCACATATCACCATACAATAGAGAAATAAATATCACCATACAATTATGTCTTCCGGCCCGCTAATCGACCACCAATCACAAGAAACCAATTGCATAATATTTCAAATTATGAATGTATAAAGTTTGGACGACAGCAGTTCTGGTAGTAGTCGAGGCTTACGTCACTTCTATTGTTTTTTTTCTTCCGTGAGCCTCACGCTAGCGAAGAAGGAAAACATCGTGATGAAGCCTGCACGTCACAACCCTTGGAAATGCATTGTTGTTGATGGCGATGTTAATGATGAGGACTGCAGTAAGTATATGTTATTTTTGAAGATAGAATGGAGTGTAGTAAGAGAGTGTTCTAGTGTGAAAGACGATGTAGTGACTAGGACAGAAAACGGAATGCTTTGATGGTTTAGTTATTAGAAAGGATATATGTTAGTAGATCGACGACACAAAATTATACTTCGAATGTGGATGGAGACGTGGGCAGAGACCTTGATGTACGTATCACGATCAAATTGGCGGTGTCCTCAAAAAAGGCACCAAGAATAAACGGATTTGCACTATCAGTAAATTGGACGCCTTATCATCATAAGGTTTCTTTTTGCGTGCAGGCAACTACGGTCAGTAACGGCCACCCGCAGCTTGGGTGTCAACCAACGGCGTTTAAGAACCAGACCACATTTTTACAATATATAACTGTAAAAAAAATAAAGAGCCCACACGATAAACGACAACACTAGTTACACTTATTGCCTCAATAGCCGAACGGCTACCATGCTACTCTGCCACATAATGGTCCCAGGTTCCATTTGTGTGCCAGTATTTGTACAGCCTACATATATTTCTCTCGTGAGTTTGGGTGTGATCTGTGGTTATCTATGTATATGTCCATGGCATCGGGTTTCCCTAGTGCTATTTATAGTTTTTTTTATTTATAATCTCGCTTGCAAACAAAACTGTTTCGGGACTGGGAAGGCTTTAACTTAGCTGAAAGTACTTATGGAGACAATAGCTGAGTGAAAGAGGTTTGTCACGAATATAGCAAGTGGAGGTTTATGGTCTCTCTCTACCCTCATGGAATACGTGGGCGTGATGGTACGTATGTAGTTGCAGCTGTTCAAAAAACATCGATCTAAACCGAGCTACGATGTCACCGCGCTGTCCTCATTCACTGCATGACCTAATTTTTCGTCTACATTTCTGTTACGGTCGAAAATAGTCCGCTCGTCATAATATCTTACTTAATACTTTCGTGTCTATCGTAAAATTTCGTCCGTATTCCTATTCTAAAAGCACCTTCTAGCCTCTTTTCTGTTTACACAGATTGTCTTCGAACTTGGTCCAAAACAGAAACTTCATGGATATCGGACCATGAATCTCAATTAGTGTATATTATATTAGTTGTCATAGGATAACATAATGTAACTAACGACGGTAACTTTAATGTCTTTCTCTCTCTTCATCTCTTTAGAGACATTTCATAAATAGGTAATAAGAGTTGTCATAAGTTTGCGAATTAATCTTCTGACTTATATATTATTTTTGACCTTCGAGTTAAGAAAGACGACGAAGAATCTTTATGATATACTTACAATATAAAGCAACTTCGGGCTTTCCTTCCAAGCGCCAAAGCATCCAAAAGCAGCAATGATGATGATCAGGACTCCAATGGCGATGAGCACAGCGTCTGTTTCGTGACCAGTTGGCTCCATGCCAGCAAAGCCTTTGATCATGCCCATGTCCACACATGCTGCTGCTATTATCACGATGCCGAAGATCTGCGAACAAGGAATTTATAAATCAAGACACGACTTCCATAATTGTGGCTTTTATTGACAATGATGCTGCTGTGAACAGATGAGAAGGTCGTAGGGTGTCTTGGTTGCACAACATAAGAGAGTGTACAAGCATTAGGGTTACCTATCAAAAGTCCGAAATGACATTTTCCAGAAATAACGTTGCTCGAATTTTCATAACCTCGAAAGTAATTTTGAGAGAAAAATGTTTTTTCTTTTAAACCTAATTTAACTTAACCTAACGGAACCTAATCGTATTTTTGCGATAAATATCGAACATATCCTGAAAGAACTACGGTTTCGTTATAATTCAGTTTTCGGGGTAATGAAAATTCGAAAAAAAGGTTCTATCGGAAAACATAAATGTGAGTTTGTGATAGGTTACCAAGCATTAGTTATTGCATTCCGTAAGAGACAATAAGTTTGCGGAACTTATTGCTTACTTACACCGTCACCAGTTGAATAAGTACTCAGAGTAATAGAATTCTCATAAATTTTTAATGGTTCGACAACCAAAGGGGTGCTTCGTGTTATAATAAAACATTTCCTTTTCATGAGATGGGTGGTGACATTTTATGGGTCGTTAAGTAACTGCGTAGTAAAAGACAAAAATGAGTAGTAAGAAAACCATTACCATGTGCTGGTTATTTGTTAGAAATAGTGTCGTCTAATTTTGCTTAGTCAGCAGTCACGTAATGGTTCAGATCGCGCTGGATGCGGATAGCGCAGGACCGTAAAAGTAGGCGCAATAAAGAACAGGCAGGAACAACTAATACAACTGCTGGGTATAGACCCAGCTGTTGGTTGATGTTGTGTGTCTTAACACTAGCGTCACAGTACGTTTATGAAATTGTTATCTATGTTAAGGAAAATATTTTTTCAATAAATAATGACAAACATAACATATCTATACTTGACAGTTGTCTTCACAAATTCACTCGAGGAGAAATGTCCGGTTTTTGTAAATTTTGTATATAATTTGCCATTTACGGGGCTCAAAACTACAGTGAAACAAATACCTTGTACTAAAGGTTTCTTCTTCTGCGTACTTGTTGTCGGTGTTTGAAATGAATATTGTAAATGTTAAATGTATTGAAATGTATATTTAAAAGAGCAACATAGAGTTTCCTCATTCTTCTCGTGGAACTCTGTCTTACGAATGAGCAATAGAGTTGAATAAACGTGATGATTCAAGTGTACCATGCTTACCTATAAAATGAAGATTATTTGAATTTGGATTTGGCAGACCAAGATGATGATGATGAAACTAGAATCGACGAATTGAGTCATGATTTTCCAAGTTGCACAAAGTAATAAATACTTATTTCGTCACTAATTGACGTATCTATCATTGACTACGGCATCTAATTGAGAATCATTGCTTCAAAACCCAAGAATAACCTCACTCCAACCAATTGTCTCCCACACCCACCTAACTACGATAGAAGGTGCATTTACCATTTAGCATTATACCGTCTCCAAATTGGCCACTCCTACGCATCGTGTCGATGCCCTTTGTAGGCGTTCCCTAACTAATCCAGTGAATACTTTATATGCCTCTAGGCGGCAAAGAAATTATTTTCTTTTGTTACTTTAATTACGCCGCATGATTGACGGACTTTTCGTGGCCTTGAGTTACTTTGTTATCGTTACTAACTGAAGTTTCGTTTCCTATTTCTAAGACAAATGGATTATATTTATATGATGAATATTTTATCTGCATCACGGCCATGTTATGATCACATTCTGTCATTCTTATAATGTAACTCAGGGACATATTGACAGGATGTATGTGGGTGTAGGGTTACTAAATATACATATTGCCGACAAGGAGATTATGGCAACCTTTTTTAACGACAGTCGAGAATACTATTAGAAACTGTCTGGCTTGTAGCATATATTAAATCTAAGGCTTGTAACGACAAGTAATAAGGCTCTTAATGTAAGGTGTAAGACTAAAATTCCCAGCGATGAAGGATCAAGTCATTTGTAAATTACAATCAATAAAAATAACGTACACTCGAGAAACCCTGTATCACGGGTGCCATGGACACACAAATAGACAACCACATATTACACTCAAACTGACGAGAGAAATAAATGTAGGTCGTATAAATATTTCTTCCGGCTCGGGAGTCGAACCCGTTACCTCTGTGTGGCAGACCAATGAATAACCGTTCGGTCACGGAGGCAGTTATAATAAAAGTGACTGGTAAATTTGAGTAAAATGATTGGCAACATACGTCCAAAACAAAATAATATTATATTTACGAAGTTTAACGCCGTCGTGAAATGAAAGGTCTGAGAAAATCATATTCTATTTTAAAAAAATTAAAAACTTTTTGACTAATAAAATGTAGGTAGGGAAGAGATGTGTCAGTTGTAACAAAAAAAAATCAATTCTTCATAATATTTCAATTAGTAAACACAGCGCAATACTTTTTGGCCGCAATCATTTTAAGTTATTTAATAATAAAATGACATAAAGAAAATAACAAAAAAGTACATAATACTCTAGAATATGACACTTATTGAGGTCAGCTAATAACGTTACAATTACGGCACTAAGAGGGTCAATTGTAACAGCAATGTGAGTCAATTGTAACATACAAAAATCGTCAACAATGAAAAAATAAATTAAATAAACACTTATCAGAAGTTTATGCCAATAACTTAATAGTCGCTACTACCTCTGCTCGAATAAAAATTATTTCCATGCTGAATCGGTTCTATTGCGCGTGACAATGACTTTATATCAGAATTTATTTTTTTAAAAACGAAATGCCATTTAAAAAATGTGAATCGTATACTATACGAGTTCTACTTAGTTCAGTTGATATAAAAAAAAAATTGGTATATATAAAGTACCTATTGAATGCAGCGGTTTTCTTGTTACAATTGTACCTCCTTGTTTTGTTACTTTTGCACCACTGCCGCTTTTTGGCAAAGAAGACTTAGATAATAAAAATCTATCGTAAATTTTATCAAATCACGTACCTGCACGTATAGATCAGATATTGACTTCTACGAAAATCACCACTGATCGTTGTAATACTGTTTTATTTAATTACATTAACAAAAACTGTGTTAAGCTATTACTTTCATAAACTTGCCACATTTGAAATTGTCATCTAGTGACAAAGCGTGCGCAAACTGTTATACCTGTACGTTCGGTCGGTAAAACAACATCGAATTAAGCTTCGATGGCTGCCAAGAGCATCCGCTATTCGTCAATAAATGTCGTGAGATAATGTTACAATTGCCTCCCTGTTACAATTAACATACCTCTCCCCTACTAGACAGTGTTCGAATTTTCAAATGACAAAATCCTAACTTCATTGTCTAATTTTTGACATTCGTATATTTATTTTTAAGTAAATCTAATTGCTGTTATCATTTTTAAAATTGACCCATATGAATATTACTTGTTACATCCATGTATACACATCCATTAGATATTATAAAAAAACATTGGTTGACCTAGTTTAGTCTGTCCAAGTGCATATGAGTGAATTATGCCTAAAGTTCGACCGGACTCAGTGAGAAAGTATTTTGTAAATGTCAACTTCTACACAACCTGCGTTTCCACAAATAAATAAATTAAAACTCATGAAACCTTTACACACTTCTGCGTACATTTTTAATTTATTTATTAAGAAACAGGTACAAAAAAGAACTTGCATCTAGGCTGCTAACGGAGTAACAAAAACCATTTTTGGTTGTACCGTACATCGGCATTCACCATCGCGGTAAATAAATTAAAAGTTAATAAATTAAATACAAACAAAAAATAATATTAATAATTACGCTAACATGACTAATATGTAATATTAACTAAATTCTTGCTATTTAAATTGCAAGTAAAATAACAATAAAGAAAAATAAAAACAAAAAACAAAAATGTGGGTATGTATCAATCCCATCATTCTAGATTCACAATATTCACAGTGCACCAATATGTCACACATTCTAGAGTTATGGATGGTATAAAGCCATAAGAGCAATTTTGTTGACTCTTTTCATGTTACTTTTAGCTACGTTATTTAAAAAAATAATAAATGAGAAATCTATTTCTCTATTCAATTGCAAACAGCAACTCCTGTCTTTTTAACCATTCTTCTCTAAACAATCTGCCTTACGAATGTTGTATTAATTCGGCGATTTTAGTAATTTGCATTGTTGTTCTACATTTCGCGACGCAAGACCCTGCTGTTGAAATGAATAGGTAATTTTTAGATATGACTATAAATTTATACCTTTTACGTACCTATTACGCATTGTTTTTGTAGATTACAATTTTTTGTCAGGCGCGTAACTAGCGTAACATTTAATTACGACGCTTGTTAATTTACGTCAGGTAACCTACTAGAAAACGTATTCATTCGCTAAAACACACCTACACGTTTTTCTTGTATAAAAAAGAAGCAGGACGTAACCATTTTAATATCAATCAAGATTTTATAAGATAGGATGTGGTAAATTGTTTGCGGCAAAAAATGTGCATGCATTAACACCAATGCAAATGACATGGTAATCTAATGTGATAATGTGTAACAACCTACAAAAACAAACCTACAGGTGTGATACAACCTCGAGTATGACGCGAGAATTTTCAGTGGCGTCTATCTATACTAGGCAGAATGTCGATTCTGGTTTTTTGTTCTGTGTTTTTTTGTCTTTTTTCATAGTTCTGCGCATTTACGCGAACAAATATTAACAATTAACTATGCATAGACATAATATTGTATAAAAAATATTTCAATTTTATTATTTTTTATTAATGAAAACAATCTCCAAGTATGAAATAATCATGTATTTTAGTATCTTTTAAGTAATAGTACTGTAGAAAAAAAAATGTGGATTGCATCACTTTAGCTTTGATAGCCTCAATTATTAATACAAAGATCGATTACAAAAACAAATGCATTGGTATTATAAAAAAGCAGCATTTTTTGTTATTAATAATTATAACAAACTAGTGG